ATAATTTCTCTGAAAACATTTTAAAATATTGAGATCATTCCCTAATCCCTTGCCCCCGGAAGCTGGGATATGCAGTAGCATCTCAAATATACTAAGTTTCCTTACGCAATCTTGAGAGCTGGCAAGGTTGCTTTCCCTACGCAAAACTTCTGGGAAGGAGAACTAGTGGCACTGCAGCAAGCCTGTTTTTCTTAATCACCTCTTGCCTTCGAAGTGCCCAGGATCTACCTGCAGTGCTTCTAGATTCCCAGGACTTCAGGTCAATACAGAAGAAAATTGTCATGGCAACTCTGTCTGCCGTCAGCAAATAGCAGAAGCCTACTACTAATTACTTTATCTTTTGTCTTGAAGGTTAGGTTTTCATAATTTAGTCATTTCTATTCCAGGTAATAAGCATTTGCGGCTGATTAAATATACTCTACGAGGAACAAGGGCTAGATAAGTTGATTTAATTAAAATCTTTTTCATCTCTAGTTTTTTGAGACTGCTGCTTTTTGGAGGACAAAAGTCAACCTATAATCAGAACAATATGGTATCACCTAGGGAAAGAGAAGAAAGTGTTTCTTGCCCCCTTTTTGTGTATTTATAAGGTATCTATCCCCTTGGTGTCTCAGCATCATCAGTGACATCCCCAGGGGGTTGACACTGGGTTCTTTTCTAAAAAAAAAAAAATCACCAAAAATGAATGTAGCATTGGAGGCCTGTGGCATATCATCTCCAGGCTTTCCAGATCATACTGCTAAAATCAGTTCAGATGTTAACTTTCCTAACCTCAGAGCGTAGAAGGATGAGCCACTGGATAAAGAAGAAGCTGCTGGCATTTTCAAAAGCACTTTTCCTAAATTGGTAGGGAGGGGAAAAGAGGGAATAATTATCAGTTACACACCTAGCCCCTTCTCTCTGCTTATGAAAAGAGTGGCCATTCCAAGTGATCTATCTATTCCAGTATCCTTTCTCTGAGGACAGCTTATAGAGGAGGCTTCAAAAATCATCCTTTTGGTTGCAATGAACCAATCAGCATCCAAAGGCTTAAACCATGGTTTTCTCTATCTTGAGCTTGAACAAACTCAAGATATCCTGAGATTTCCAATGGAAAAGAGGAACAGTGAGTGGCATTAACATGTGATGTGTCCTGTTACAGGGACTGAAAGCCATCCTCCAGACTGAATATCCTGGTATGGGAGGTATACCATGGGATGGCTTTTGAGAAAATATTTGAATATTCAGAGGATGGGCTTAGCCGAGGACAACATGACTGCATCTTAGTAGGAGGGGTGTATTTGGTAACCCTATTGGTCTGAGACAAAAAGAAATGGAAAACAGTAGAAGTCATGGTTCAGAGATACCTTTTATTAATTCAACTAAGAAATCACAAAAAAAAAATTATCTTTTTCTGCAACCTTTCGGAAATACACGCCCTTCCTTAGGCTCAGGGAAAACTGAAGATGGTAAAAAGTCCTCATAAGTAGAAAATAAACTTCATTTTTGCACAGAGGAGGCCGGTTTAATAAAAGTATCATCTCTGAAGCAAGAGCTCTAGAGTTTTGCATTTCTCTTAGCAAAAGGAACACTTCCCTGTCTCCCGAATACATTCAAAGGCCTTGGGAAGTCCTAGAATGGTAAAGTGACCTTGCAAAATGATTTATTCTTTTTAAAAAATGTGTTGAATCCTCAAGTTGCAGCAGGGGGACTTGAGGTTAGAAATTAGGAAGAACTTTCTCCCTTTGAGGGAGGTTAAGCATTGGAAATGCCTACCCAGAGATCCAGGAAATTCTCCATCCTTGGGAATTTTTAAGAGCAAAGTAGACGCTTGACTGGGATGGTTTAGTCAAGAATGATTCTGATTTGAGCAGGGGGCTGGACTACTAGATGATCCCCTGCGGCCCCTTCTGCTCCTACTTTTCTTTGGTTCTGTGGACACGAACAGATGTTGCTCTTCTGATCAGGGTTTAGTGAGCAGTTGAACGTACAGTCACTTTTCTGCCATTGTTTCAATGATGCCATCCCAGGATAACTATTTCAGAGGTGCTTTGTGATATCCTTGGATAAACTTCTTATCCCGTTAGTACTTCCTATCCCATGACCCTTTTTAGCATTTATCCCAGGACAGCAGACATGGACATCCGAATGATTACACTTTTGTCTGGGGACAGCATGGTTTATCCCAGGACAAATGAGATGTCTGTTTGTATCTTGTGATAATTTGACTTACCCAACGCATATCTTGCTTTCTGATTTCCCTTGGGAGGGAAAGCAACTATCCAATCTGACTCCAGCGAACCTCAGGACAAAGGAAACCACACTGTGCAGAGCAGTTCATTTTACACTAATAGAGCTTCCTGAGGCAAGTGATAAAAGTTTTCTACATATAACAATGCTATTGCCTCTTCATATGCAGCCAAATGATACCTTCTAGCTGTTGGGGCTGCATCTCATACTGTTTTTATTTTTGAACAAATTTTGCTGAATGCTCACAAATCAGTATGTTGATTTGAATGAAGGGTATATTTTGCCTGTACCTTGATGAGGTACAGCAGTAGCGCTGTTAAATAATGATGACATTCGAAAAAGGAAGTAAAAAAACCTCCAACCTTCATAAAGGAAGCCCATGTTGGGATTCATCTACATGTGTTGGTTTAACTCTTGGGCCAGTGACATCCTATTCTGGTGGCTCAGAAGCCACATGAGCTGTCAGTGCTAAAGAAACAGCACCACAACCCCATGTGAATGGTAGCAAATGCATTCCAGTTCAGCAGGAAAAAACCCTACAGTACATTTGTTAACTTTGATAGATACAGCATGTGCATTGCAGTATTCAGGCTTGCAGGAAAGACATGCCAAATTCCCTGCTGCTTGAAGTGAAAAACAACCAAATGCCTCATTTGGTGCAGGGGTCCACGGGTGCTAAATTGAAGAGATGCTCTGTGGCTTGGGACCTGTGGTCTGAGAATCGTGGCATTAAGCCCCAGAGGAGGATTCGGTTTGTCCTCAATGCCTTTAGATCTTCCATCTGTCCCAGATATGCTAGAGCCCTGTCTAGCATGGCTGCCCCTTCACTTGTTTCTGTGGTCTCCTGTATAAACCTGGTCAAAACAGAGAAGAAAATTCTGTGGAGACCTCCCGAGCCTTTTTCATGTATCGTGAATATATTTATTAAAAAAAAAAAAATCAGTTTTTAACCTCCATTTTCAAACTTTTTTACTCTTTTCCCTTCCTGTTTTATTTTTCTTGCTTGTCTTCCCTGCCATACTCCTTCCTTTTTCCACTGCAAAGGGAGGATAAAAGGGCAGGGAGAGAAGAAAATGCTAAAAACAAGGACTGAAATACAGGTTGGTGTACTGGTTTCCAGTTTTGCAACACACCATTTTTACTGCAAATGGGAAAAGAACTTCACTTCCAAATTACAACCATGTCCTCTTCTCTGGAGCTGCTGTGGGAGGTGACCATGCCCATCTGACTAAGGAGCAGGTGTCACTGTTGCTTCCCATTAGCTGCAGGAGTCAGGCCTCTGTGTCCAGAAGTCCTAGCATCCTTGACGGTTGATCTGTAGTGCTGCCCTGTGCTACTGAAGCAGATGGGAGAAGGACAGAGCCTGGCTGTAGGAGAAGGCAGCTCTCACTGTGTAGGCTAGCTGAGCAATTGGGGATGTTACCCAGAAGCAGCATGAAGGACCAGGTAGAAATCACTGCTGGTGGGAGTCTTGACCTAGCTTGCTCTTCCAGTGGCCACAGGACTTGCTTAAACACAGCGCCTCTTGGTTAGTCAGGGTAAACCCTGGAAATCAATAGTTTTGTTTCAAATTGCTCAAGAGAAGGACTTAGTAGTTCCTGAGAGATCCTAGGTACCCACAGGTCCTTGGTTCGGGGACAGATGTCTGAGTCAGAACGGCAGTGGTTTTCCCTGGAGCTTTGTGTGTGGCAGAGTCTAAAGGTGATGCCATGATAACCCATCTGCAATCGGTAGTGATCCTCAGTCTCTTTCACTTACTTAGCGTAACTTTAATGAGACTCTGTTCACCTGTCCACTAGATTAAATTAATTTTCCTTTTTTTGAGCTGATAGATGACGATGGTGACGGTGGTGTGCGTGTGTGTGTGTATGTGGAGGCTCAGTGGTAATAGAGCAGATGGGGATTTGTGATAGCCCAGAAGCATGAATTTGCCTTGCTCTCAACTTGCACCAAAGGCTGCCCCAAGTTGATCCTGCTGTAATGGGAATGAGGTCATTGGTACTGGGGAGCTAAAGGTGGCAGAACATGATGTTGGCCACATTGCTCCCTTGTGTGCTGTTGGTTACCAAAGCTGCTGTGCCTTGACCATGCTAGTCTTGGACCTTTACTAGAGATAACCTCTTCGGCAAAGATTTGGCACTATGGAGCAGTTTCCTTTCCAAAAAACGTAAAAACTTTGCATAAGGGGGCGGGGGGAGAGGGAATTTTCCATTTCACTGTTAAAAGAGGTGATGCTGTCAAAGGAAAAAAATCCCAGTCCTCATGTGGGACGTCTTCATCTAGCAGCCTAAACACTGGACCAGGGGCCTCAAACTCTGGCATAATTCTCCGTTCTGCCTTGGATGTACCCAAGGGCAAGTCACTTAACCCCTTTGGGTGTCTTTACACGTGCTCTGGGGTGGTGGGGGGTGTTTGAATTAGAATGACTCCCAGAGAGCAGCTCTAATCAAAATGCTGCAGTGGGGGCACCCACATGTCAACGTGGCAGCGGGGGCACTTGAACTAAAGCTCGTTCGACAAATCTTAGTTAAAGCGCCCCCACAGCCATTTGGAAACGCAGGACACTAAATGCATGTGACGCTGCAGCATGCCACAGCATTTTCGTTACAACTCTCCAGCAGACTCGATTAACCCTTTCTGACCGTTGCCCATCTGTGAAACGGGGTATAATCTATTTCAGAGGAGTGTGGCGAGAGTTAATTAGCTGCATACCAAGCTGCCATTAACTCATTTCCTTTTAGTGATGATGGTTCTTGTTGTCTTTCTGGCAGGTTATATATCACGAATGCTAAAGAATTACACTGCCCATGCCTGTGACGGAGAATACGTCTCCCTGAGATGCCCGCACAGAACCACCATCAGCATCCAGTCTTCCTTTTATGGCCGCATTGTACCAAGTCATCAGATGTGTCCCTCCCGATACCCACAGTCCTACGCCACTTTAATTAAGGAAGATGTTACCTGTTCTTCTGGCACCTCCCTTCAGGTATTGTGTGGGTTAAAGTGAATGCATGTCTCTTCCAGGCTTCACCTTTCTCAGGCCCCATAGCAGTTATTTTGTTAGTGATGCCACTCAGATCAGTGCCCTTAAAGACAACAATGTTGGGTAGCATTGGTCAACTTACGCTGAGAATATATGGGATGTCCTTGCTGCATAGACAGGAATTAATTATGTTTTCTTGGCATGTTCTTGAACTTTGCTAGAGCCTTGGTCTAGTGCTCCCGGAATTTGGCCAAAACTGAAATATACTGCAAGGCCAAACTCCATTGTAACTGTGTTGAGAAGGACTTCCCACTAATTGAATCACTCCAAAGAGTAGTTTTACAATAAAAACATACCTGCTGTGGTGATTCAGTAGGGATTGCATACCTCAGAAACATATTTTTTGGGGGATGATGGCACTTTTAAATTAGTAGTGTAAAAGCTGGATAGGATGTTTGGCTTGACTTTTTTCTCTTGTACTCAGACAGTCAGATTTGCAGCCAATGTAAATAGTCATAGATCATTCCATCATAAGGACGCCATTAATGCATATGCTTATAGTACATTCAAATATTTGACAATGCTAAACTTGTCATGTCCTGTGTGATGATAGTTACTGTATTTATTTAAATCGAAGACAAGGTTTTTCCTCCAATCAGCATGGGGGCAGAGGGGGTGGGTGAGTAGGTGGGAAGACTTATCTGGGATTCAAGTACCAGCTCGTGGTGGTTCAGTTCTGGATTTGGCCCTGGGCTCAGGGCTGAAGCTGGACCTGAGTCACTGCCTGCCTCAGGCTGGAATGGTGCATTTGACAGGGGAGGGAGCACACGACTAAGGGGAGTGCAGGGGAGACAGCAGGGTGTGGGGGGGGAATGTGCCCCTTTGTGCCTGCCATAGGTGGATTAATGCACAGATCAGTGAGCCCCGGCCCCAGGGGCCCTCAGATGCCTGGGTTCCCTTGGGAAATGGCAGGTTTCCCTTTGCAGACAGGTAGTATTCCAGCCTGCAAGGGATCCTGCTTGGGGCTGCCAGCAGATGAAGGGGTGGCACCAGTCTCTTTCTGGTGGGGGTGCTGGCTCAGCTGGAAGCGCTGCACCTCTGCAGGTTGTGGGCAGGATCAGGGCAGGTGGGCAGCAGTGATGCTGAGTGGGGTGGATATGGGGGCTTCAGGTGAATTTTGGGGTGGCAATAGCCCCCCAAGCTGCCCTCCCAGCACCACCCCTGTGCATGTGCATGGCTGCACGTGGCCAGAGCACAGCCAGGCAGCCAGATCCCTGCAGGTAAGTCTAATGGGGGGAAGGGGCATGGGGGAAGGAAGTGGAATGGGGGGGCAAATCAAGGTCCCCATGGTGAGGCAGGGTGTGGGGCAGGGGCTGGGGGCAGTGCCCAGCCAGGAAGGTGCACGAGACTTGGGGCTGGGCAGGGAGCGGGATGGAGCTATAGGCACTTGGTCCAGGGGGCGCAGGGGTGGGGAGGGAGAGCCCTGAGCCATCAGCAGGCAGCTTGCTTCCACCCTCACCCTTCTGGGCTCTGCTCTGCTTGTGGTGGGGGGAGGAGAGGCGGGCATATGCTCCCCCACCCCAGCCCATGCGGGGTCCATCCACCTTCCCCCACATGGCACGGAGGCCCATCCTACCCTTGGCAGCAGCAGCATCAGGAGGGGAAGGGGCCTCTCCCCCTGCAGGAGTCCAGCTGCCATGGTGGGGAGGGGGGGGCCTCCAATTTTGTTTGCCCCAATCTGCCTCTGGCCTATGCCTGTCTCCTTCTGCCTTCCCCTTCCCCCTTGTCCCCAGGCAAGTCTCAGGGAAGCACATGGCAGGGGGTGCATGATAGAGGGCAGGCACAGGGGGACAAGGGGCAGAGGAGCAAGAGGCAAGGATGTGGCCCCTTTCCTCCCTGCTGCTGCTTTCCCTGGCACAGCAGTGAGGGACACACATTTAGGACAACCTTCCACTAATTAGATTCTATACATGGAAAATTAGGACAAAATTATAATTTTCCATGTGTAGAATATACGTGTGGGGGGTGTCATTTTAAATTAAAAGTTGTCTTGAATTTGGGTAACTCCGGTTATTGTCTTTGTTCATTTTATCTAAATGACACAGACAGTCTGTAGCTTCCTCGAATCATATGTGACTTCTACATCTCAAGAAACTGTTTGCGAGGTACCTTTGTTACAGAATCATTGACTCCTGTTACTGAGGTCCATGAGGATGACTCCAGGACACAAGACTAAGCAAGTGCATTGAGTCTTTCCAAGACTGGTTTTCAGACTGGGAACATTTTAGGCAGAGATGTCAACTTTTTTTGGTGTGTTTAAACCCCCTGTATGTCTACCGCTGTAAATCAAGAGTAACTAGTAGGAAATGTGATAGGAGAACTAGAGACTTGTAAGACTAATGAACCAGGGGGTCAAGGGAACTATTTTGTTGTGATTTGGCCAGCACCCATATTCCCTGTACAGCTGCTCACTTATGTGACTCCACGCACTTTTAGAGGAATTTGACTCCACGCACTTTTAGAGGAATTCACGCTACCTTTTAAAAGAAGTTGATCCAAGTGCATTCTGCTTCCAAATATCAGTGGTCTACAGTCAAGAAAACAGCACTGGGGCAATGTTTGCCCTTTGAGTAACCCCCGCGCTGACAGATTTGCAGTTGCCCTTGTAACACCATTGCAGCATATCAAGGGACTGAAAGCCTCTTTCCAGAATTTACAGTAAGAGAGTGTCCACCATCTGAAAGGGGAGGCACTCCCAGATAGGATCATGAACATTTGTTATAGGAGGGACAAGCAGAAGACACACTGTGAAGGAGGGGCAGATTCAGAGAATAAGGGCAGAGATTTTTGGCTGGTTGACCATCTGTTACTCCTTTTATTTATGGCTGAACTCTGCCTTTTACAATTCACTTGATAAGCTTCATCTGCAGGCATCGTGGCCGCACAAGCGGCTACCCCTTTCCCTTTCAGGTAATCAGCACACATAAGAAGCCTCTCCAGCATCTGGAACAGCTTGGGGAGAAGGGAGATGTAATGCTTGTTTTTTCCATGCCATAATTTTGCGCTCAGGAATAGTTTGATGACGACCTTCTTGGCTGTGCTTGGTCCATCCTGCTGGTTAAATTAGCCCCTTTGCTTTTGGCATGAGGCTTGCTGCCTCTGAGAGAAGAAAAAACCTTCCCATTTAGAAGAATGAGTGCTATGAGCTTCAGTCGGTTTGGCCGTGTGGGTCTGTGAATGGCACTGAGCTGTTCCTTTGGATCCCATGTAGAATGAGTTTACAAAGTGACAAAGAGTTAACCACTCTTATTCATCCTGGTTTGGGTAGGGCACTTATCTGAGACTTGGGAGACCCATACCGAGTTCTCCATTCTGCCACAGATTTCCCACGTGACCTTGGGTGAGTCTTTAAGTCTCTTTGAGCCTCAAAGCAGGCTAAAACCACCTCCCCACCTGAAAAAGCAGGGTAATGTCCCTCGACTTCCCAGACTGTAGATTGTGAGTTGCTCGCATGCAAGAGTCACGGAGGCAACAGCAGTATCTTCCTGCCTGTACTCTTCCCAATCCTCTCAGTATTTCTCTGGAGCTAGTCTTTATACGGCCTTCCATGCTGCCCCGCACCCGGGAGGGCACTTCCCTTCTCACTTGGTGCACTAGTGACTTCTAACCACTCCTGTCCATTGCTGCCTTTCAACAGCCCCCAAGAAACAGAAGGGGCATGTGTGTGTGTGTGTGTGTGTGTTTCAAACTCAGCTGTGGATAGCTAGAGTCATTGTGTGTGCAATGTGATTGACAGCAATTAAAAAAAGCTGAGCCAGAATCCTTCACCATCAAGCACATAAATCACTGTATCTAATCAAGCCCAGACTGTAGAAATTGGTTTCTCTTTCTGCAGGAGTAGGCTTCAGGGGTTATTAATATCCTTCAGTGCAAGCACATCCCCCCTTTTTTTTTGATTAATGAGTTGCACTTAATTCCTGTTTAAAGGCCTCCCCACCCCAGCTAATGTCCAATCTGGAAGGCTTTTTTTGTGTGTTTAAAAGGGAAAAGCTGAGGTTGATTACACTGCATTTACCACTGCTAATCCAGGCCTTGGGCCTTGATTCTTGGGGTCAAGTGCCAGAATCTCTTGCTATCGGCACTTGTTTTCATTTGAAACAAAATGTACGCCACCTGGGAATGCATGTCTGGAACATTAAGTCAGTGACCTGGAGCTATAGATTTCTGTTATTCGAAAACAGTAAAAGTCAGATTCGACGTGAGATATCCAAACGTGTCAAGACTTTGGAAGCCAAGCAATAAAAGGCCATTCATATGGGGATTTTGGTTTCAAAGGGACTGGGTCTCTAATTAGCCATTGGGACAACCTGAATGACTGGAGATCAAAAGAACAGATTAAAGGTGTGTGGAAAATCAGATGCTGCTTGCCTGTCTTCATACTTAAGGCACTTTTTTTAGACATCCAGCCCTCATGTTTGGGTTCTGGGGATCTTAGAATTGGTAGTGTGAGATACCTTGTGATAGCAGCTAAAGTAAATCCTGGAGCAGCTTTTGCCATTTTCTGGAAGCCTCTTTGACCAAGTTCACATAAAGAAGTGGGGAGAAATACCCACCCATTCATTCCAAGTTAGAGCGAACTTTGGCCATATTAGATTTGGGACAAGCAGAGCACATTAATTGTACCAGCGCACCATCCCGGCCCTGTGCTCTCTCCCTTCCGCAGTTCTGCTTTAGAGTCCTGCACTGATTATTTCTGACAAGGCCATTATAAACCAGAGTCCCAGCATGAGCCAGGAGTGCATATCAAAGCTATGATGATGGATGCCAAAGAATGAATGCACACAGCATCTCTTCCTTAATGCCCAGAAGGATTTTCTGGCAGGAGCCCTTCTCAGTCTTTCTTGTCAAAGGTGCTCTGTTTCACATCGCACGCTTGCATACTCACTAGAGCAGGGACTGAAACCCTGGTGTGTTACCAACCAGGTCCATGCCCTAACCACTGG